TCTACTACGGCTGCGACTACGTCTACTACTACTACTACTACTACTACTACTACGACTACTACTACTACTACTACTACTACTACTACTACGACTACGACTACTACTACTACTACTACGGCTGCTAGTACTACTGCTACTACTACGACTACTACTACTACTACTACTACTACTACTACTACTCCTACTACTACTACTACTACTACTCCTACTACTACTACCACGACTACGACCACCACCACCACCACCACCACTACTACTACTACTACTACTACTACCACTACTACTACTACTACTACTACTACTACTACTACTACTACTACCACTGCTACTACGACTACTACTACGACTATAACTACTACTACTACTACTACTACTACTACTACTACTACTACTACTACTACTACTGCTGCTGCTGCTGCTGCTGCTGCTGCTGCTGCTGCTGCTATTACTGCGAGTACTAGTAGTACTACTACAACGCTGTTACTGCAACTCTTGCTGCTGTTGGCACTCCTGTTGCTACGATTACTGTTGCCTTGACCGATCCCTCTCCGTTCCTCCCTCCACCGCGCTTCCGACTTTTCCTCCTTTTGCCTCTCCTCCTTCCCAGCCCTCTCTCCCGCACCCCCTCCTACCCGTCCGCCACCCTCCTACCCTCCAACTCCTTCTCCCCGCACGCACCCCTCCCCCCCTCCTCCCCCCTCGCTTCCTATCCGCAATTACACAATATGAATATTACTGTCGCCATGCCATGACGTACTACGCTCTGCCGTGCTCTTTCACGCCCTGCTACGCCGTGCTCTACGATGCATCGCGCACCCTCTCGGGATCATTGCCCTGATCGACATCCGGCTGTGAGAATGGAGAGGAGATCTACGCCATGGTAAGGGATGAGAGGGAGGGGGTAGGACGTCGGATATGACGCGAGCGCACCTAGCTTGTCCCTTCTCCCCTCCCCTGCCACCCCCGCCCCCTGCTCCCTCCTTCCGTGACACACAAATAGATACACACAAATAAAAGGATTCCCCATATTTTCCAATATTTTCTGGGTTTGTATCTTCCCCCCCACTTCCCATATTTTCCCAAATTTTCCCCGGAGTGGACGATGAATTGTGTCTGTGTGTGTTTTCCCCTCCTGATTTTCCCCCTTCCTCCCTCCCCACCTCGTGAGATCCCGCGGCAGCCGCTGGGATTCCGCGGGAACCCACCAGGATTACACATCAGCCGGTGCTCTTCGATGCAAGTCGTCGGACCTTACCACATCGAGTCGAACAAAACGACTCGACGCGGACAACCCTGGCGCCTCCCTCCGTGAGCGCACGAGTGCGAGGGAGCCCGAGCCTGCTCCGCTGCGGTGATCTCATGGGGCTCAGGACTGGCGGCGCCCCCTTTGGGTGCTCAAGGGAGCGTCTCTCTCTCTCTCTCTCTCTCGGGCCAGACGAAAGGTGGGGATTGGGAAAGGGGGGGGTTACGAAGTTTGACGCATGCAGCTGGTTTCGGCCCCACCAAGGGGCCCATGCCTCGATACATAGTCGCCTCCGGCGCCGGGAGGCGCCGGGAAAATCAGCTACATGAGCCGATTCTCAATCCCCCTTTTCTATCCCCCCCCTTCGCCCGACCCGACTCTCTCTCTCTCTCTCGAGCTACACTCTGCTCTGAGAAGGAGAGGCGTCGGTGCCGCCAGGCGAGCGCCGCGCTCGAGACGTCGCCACAGTCTTGGCGCGAACGGGCGAGCGGAGTACCACCCTTGACGGCGCCTCGCCGGGGTGCTGAGGCGAGCGCCTCACTCGAGACAGCCTCACGACTTGCTCTCAAAGGGGAGTTGGAGCCGCCAGAAGAGCACACCGCTCAAAGCATCCACACCATTTGGGCGCGATATACCCCCTGGCGGCTCGCCTGCTACATTGCGGTGAGTTCTGAGTGTGAGTGAGTTTGATCGTGAGTGGGTTTGAGCGTATGCATATGAGTGTGAGTGGGCCTGGGTACGAATAAGCCGAATGCACATGGGCCTGAGTACGAGTCGATACGAGTTAGAGTCGTGAGTTTTCAGTGCGACTGAGTCTGAGTGTGAGTGATCTGGGTATGAGTGGATATGAGAATAAGTGGTCGCGAGTACGAGTCTGAATGTGAGCAAAGAGAGGGAGGAGGCGAGAGGTGAAGAGTGGGAGGCGGAGGCGTCGCGCCATTAGCGAAACCTCCCTACGAAAAATATGGGGACAAAACACCACCCCTGCGGCACTACTCCATCACGGCCCGCCCCCCTGCCTCCCCCCCTCGCCCCACGTGGGCCGCTCAACGTGGGCCGCCCCCTTGCCGCTCCTCCCCCCCCCCTCCCCCCTCCCCCCTCCCCCCTCCCCCCCTCCTTCCTCTCCCCCCTCTTTGGCCCATCCTCCACCGTGGCCTGCTTCCTTGCCTTTCCTTCCAATTCTTGCCCTTTGGGAGCTCGGCGGGCGAGGGGGAGGGTGGGGGGGGCGGCGGGCCCGCCGCGCGACGCCGCGCTGCAGCTGCGCAGCGGTGGCAGGGTTTGTTCCCTCGCCTTTTCTCCCCCTCCTGCAGAGACTGCAGACATGTTGGCCTCCATTGTTGTTCGTCGTCGCCGTCGCCGTCGCCGTCGCCGTCGCCGTCGCCGTCGCCGCCGCCGCCGCCGCCGCCGCCGCCGCCGCCGCCGTCGTCGTCGTCGTCGTCGTCGTCGTCGTGGTCGTGGTCGTCGTCGTGGTCGTCGTGGTCGTCGTGGTCGTCGTGGTCGTCGTCGTCGTCGTCGTCGTGGTCGTGGTGGTCGTCGTCGTCGTCGGTCGTCGGGCGTCGGTCGTCGGTCGTCGTCTTCTTCGTCGTCGTCGTTTTCCTCCTCTTCCGCCTCCGCCTCCGCCTCCTCCTCCTCCTCCCCTCCTCCTCCGCCTCCTCCTCCGCCTCCTCCTCCGCCTCCTCCTCCGCCTCCTCCTCTTCCTTTCAATTACCCTGTTCCTGTTCCCCCCTCCTTCTCTGCGACTCACAGGGATGGTTTAGCTGCAACGCCGTCGGCTGTTCAAGCACGCGTCCGCCCATTCCGGCAGACACTGCAGCACGCGCCAGCAGGCTTGGAAATGAAAGAAAACATGGGCCGCCAGGGGTGTCGAGTCAGGAGGGGATAGGAGGAGTCAAGCCCCCCTCCTCATCCTCTGCCTCTTGATGTCCTTCCCTCCTGGAGCCCGCACGGTGCAGCAAAGGTGCAGCTGCGTTTGTCCCATGAGCTCCAGGCGCCGCTCGCTCGGAATCGCCGGAGCGGGCGACCCCGTCCCGAATCTCAAAGGCCGCCCCAGGGCTGAGGGCCTGGAGCCGAAGAATCTTCCCCTGCTGCACCGACCAGGGCGACGAGGGAGAGTGAACGGACGAGTGGATGGGGAGAGAGGTCACGCAGGGAAGGCGAATTGGAAGGCAGGTAGGTTGGTGCTCGCGTGTGTGTGTGTGTGTGTGCGTATATGTGTGGGAGGATGGGCGGGGAAGGCCGTGGTGAGGGGTGACGTTCATCCCTGAAGGCTTCAAGCGCAACGAAAGGGAATTTCAACATCCAATTTTTCCTGCGCGCGAGCAACTGGGGGGCGGGGGACTTGGATGCCGGTGCCCAAATTGCCCAAACATGGTCCCCGAATGCCTCCGAACACCTCAAGGTTGTCGCAGGAACGCCGCAGCGTGTTCCATGATTGTCCAACGCAAGTAATTCAGCCCATGCCTGCGCAGTGCACCTTGTGGACTGTGCAACCCACCCCCCCGTTATGTTCCGCAGTGCCAGCTGGGGCTGGTCCAGCAGAAAAACTACGACGGGGGGGCCTGGAGACACACGAACCATCGAAACGCGATTCCGACACGCCCCTCCAAATCCATTTAAAAAGTGATGGGGCATACCGAAAGCAAGGGGGCGACCGTCGGGATCGACATCGGAATTCCGTAGAAATCATACAGCGCCCATGTCGAGCGCACACGCCGTGCCAAAAAAACATACACACCTAAATCGAATGGTCCGCACGCGTACCCAGAGCCAAAAATCCTCTCCTCCTCCTCTCCTCGCCCACCTCCATTCCCTCCCTCCCCGTCCGCCTCCGCCCCCCAGCCCCGCTGAGAGAGTCGAGCGGGGTTCCAGGCGGGCCCGAGGGTGATCCTGGAGCGGCCCCGACAGGGCCTAGATAGCTCCGAGCGGCCCTCACGAGGGCCCCCCGAACACTTCAGCGTCAAATGCTGCCACCAGGGATGTGTCGGACATAGTGGGCGAATGCCTCTATGAGCCCGCGCGGAGCCCCTCGAATTGTTCAAATCTTCACGCGGCAGAGGCGGGGCAATCCTTGCGCCTTCTCAGGGCCCCGCGCGGGCTCATAGAGGCATTCGCCCACTATTTCCGACGCGCCCCTGGTTGCGGCATGTGACGTTTCAGCGGTCGCCACACCCCGCTCGCGCTCACTCCTCATCACCTCCCCCTCCGTCCGCCCCCCGTCCACCTCCCAACTTCCCGCCCTTGGGCGCGGGTCCTGAGTCGCAGACGCCCGCGGTCTCGAGGTTATCGGCCCCCACCCCCGCCGCCCCGAGGCTCGGCGACGGGGGGAGGCGGGGGGGGGGGAAGGAGGCGGAGGACGTAGCTATGGAGAGAAGGGAGACGAGCAATTAGGACAGGGAGGGGACGGAGAAGGAGAGGGGGAAGGCGGAGGAGGAGGAGCAGGATATGTGGCCTGGGGGCGGAGACGTTAAGGGAGGAGGGGGCTGCATTCACTTGCAATGCGATCCATGATACACGACGCAATTCATGATTCGAGATGGCGGCACGCACCTCCCACCGTGCTGCAGCTGCTGGCAGGCGCCACGGGCACCTTTCTCAGGCGAAACGCCTACCAAGGCCCATGAGGGCCGCTGACGGCCGCCCCGACGCTCTTATCGAGGACGGCTGGCGCTGCGGGCATGGCGCGTCAGCGCCTGCCCGAAACTGCGAGCCGCATCCCAGAGGCGAACGGAGACACCGCACTCTCGACCGACTGCGCCATCCTGGCCTCACAAAGGCAGCGATCTTCCCTCCCTCGGTGCTGACACACACACACATCTCTAACTCCACATGTCCCTTGCTCTGGTCCCCTCCCAACCCGCTCTGGCCGAGTGCCCTACGCAGCGTCTCGCAGCCTCGAGGGTCCAACCATCACTTGAAAAACAATGCATCGTACGTTTTGTTGGCCAGCACCTTCGGCGATATCTCCTCGATCATGAGCTGGTGCTTGGATAATTCCTGCTGGGCGGCCAGCGCCGATTTGCGCAAGGCAACTTTGTCAACCTGCTCGGAAAACGATTTCAACATCAGCGCCGCCGCCCAGACCAGAATGCACTTGCACATGGTGAGTGAGCCGTCCTCAAGGACGGTCTCGTCGAAGGAGGCCAGCTGGTACGTCTTGGCCCACGCGCGGATGCCGATCTCTTCCTGCGGAAAGCCCGCGCGAGGGATGACGCAGTGGGAGGGCAGAGCACGGAGGCAGGGAGGGCTTGGAGGCGAGAGGAGTAGGCAGGAGGCGGAAACAGGGGTGATAGGGGGAGCGAGCGGGAGGACGAGGGGGAGGAGTGGGGGGGGGCACCAGTATGCCCCACTCCCCCATCGACCCCCCCAACCCCCACCACTCTTGCCCCAAGGGAGCAGGCGGTTGGACGCCCGCCGCAGTCCTCCTTGGCGGCGGCGACCTTCTTGCGGAGGCCCACGGCAACGCCCTCCGCCAGCAAGGTGGACTTGCCGACGGCGCGCACCTTGTCCCACTTTTCGGCAGCGGCGCCGACCAGCCCGTGGGTCCACTCGGCGCCGTTCTTGAGGCCGCCCTGCTCTTGCTTCAGCTCCACCACCGTCGTGTTGACGAATTTGTGGATCTTCTCGCGAAGCCCGTGCTCGGCCACCTCGTCGATCAGGGATCGCGTCGTGCCGTAGAATGCCATCGCCCCCTGCTTGATGAACGCCGTGTCCTCGTGGTCGGGGAACTTCTCATCCGAGAGCTTCTCGAACAACACGGTGGCGGACCCCTTCATCTTAGATAAGTTCGCGTCCTGATACGCGGAGCCGAGGTCCAAGCTGTCATCCTTGAAGTGCTTCGCCTTGAAGTCGGCCACCTGGGCCGCCAGCTCGCTCTGCTTCCTGAGGGCGTCGAGCACGCCGTCGTGGAGGCTGGACGTCGGCAGGAGGTCCAGGGCAGCTGCAAGCGCGCCCAACGCCGACGAGCGCAGCACCTCGCCGTTCGCAGCCACGTCCACCGCGATCTTGATGCTTCCGTCGGCCACCTTCTTCAAATCATTCATCGCGTCCTGGTCGGCGCAGGCCACGCCCCTGACCTTCTCCATCACGGACTTCGCACCATCCAGGACCTCTTGCGTCAAGCTCTCGGCAGCGGCGGACTCTTTCAATGCAGCCTTGAACTTGACCATCTCCCCTTCCGACTGGAGCTTGACCAGCAGCTCGGCAGCGTCGCCCTCGGCCTCGAGGAAGAACGTCATCTCGTGCCACGCGACCCTCTGGTACGAGACCATCTCGCCGAAGCACTTGGCCTCCTCCAGCGATGCTCGCCCCTCAGCGACGCGCTTCCCGAAGGCCTGGACAAGCGCCTGCGCCTTGTGCAGCGCCTGTGTCTTCACGCTCTCCCCGAAGGAGCTGCCGAGCGCATCCATCAAGCCAAGCAAATGCTTGGCTACGAGCGCGTTGTCATTGAAAACGGCGCACCACTCCTCCGTCGGGCTGGAATGACCTGGCAAGTCGGTCGCCAACGCATTGTGCACCTGGTCGGCTTGAGGGCCCATGGAGTTCAGACCTTGCGACGTTTTCGACAAGTCGGTGAGCATGTCCATGTAGTACGGCACCGAGAGGACCGTTCGGGCGACCGACTGCGCGATCGGGTCCTTGGACTTCGCGTCGGACAGCAGCGCGACGTGGTGCTTGACCGTCAGGTTGAACTCCTCTAGGGACAGCGCGACGCCGTCACCAATGAGCACGTTCAGCGCGCCGAAGACCTCTGTGAGCGAGCAGAAGAGCCGCGCGTACACCTCGGGCATGTCGGAAGCTACGATCTCAGCAATCTTGGCACGAACTTGGGCAATGGCAGCGGTGACGATCGAGTGCGAGCCTTTGCCAGCCTCAATGGCGGGGCAGAGCCACGAGTCCACGAAGCAGGTGTTGAAGGCGGTGATCTTGATCTCTGGGTCCATCTCCAGCGCGCTCAATACTGGCGAACAGCTGTCGAATGGAGCGGCGTGGCCAGGGTCGTGCGGCAAGGTGCATTCGAAGAACGCCTTGAACGTATCGGCGTCCCGCACGGTGCTCATCATCCGCCTCGCTGCCCTCATGCACAGTTTGAGGTTCACGGCGTCGGGCAGCGCCCCGTCGATCTGGATCAAATACCGAACAGCTTTCGCCAACTCGTCATCCCCGTAGTTGTCCTGGCGGGCCACAGATGCAATGTGGGCCATCTCGAACTTTTTGACCTGAGCCTTCAGCCCCTGGACGCCAGCGGACCACTTCGGGCTAGTGCCGTTCTCGCGCAACCACCTGGAGGCATGGTGGAGGAAGTTGCCCAAGTTCCCCTTCACCATCTCCGTCTCGCAATCCAAATTCTTGATGTGCTTGTATGGGCCAGACCTCCCACTCGAGTCCCCGCCCGCCGTGCTGACAACGCCAAGCGCAGTAGAAGCCGCCAGGGACGCTGCATCGTCCAAGGTGTCGTCATCGGGGCCGCCAGGCGAGGCCTCATTGTCACCTGACCCTGGGCTCTTCAAAGAGAAGCGCCTCTTTTTTGCCACGGGGGCAGCTGCCTCAGATCTCCCGCCGAAGAGCGACGACGGCACCTGAATCACAGGGGCGCCAGCGCCGTCGACGACGCTCTCCCCCCCCGCCTCCGCCGCCAACCCATCGCTCTCGGCAGCAGCGGCCCCGCACGCCGCTGGCGACCCGTCCCCTGTCTCTGCCATGCGAGAGCCGTTGACAGGCCTGAACTCGGCGGTGTGGAGCTTGATCGGGGCCAGGTTGAGCTTCCCCCTCGTGGCGTTGATGCACGGCAAGTCCTTCGCAACCAGCTCCGAATCGAATTCTGCTTTCTGGTTGCTGAGCCCCGAGTTGAAGAAATCGAGGACCTGGCCATCGTAGAACACGTCGTCTGGGCGCACGGGGTGCGCCCCAGCGGTGACCTTGTGGAACGTGGCAAAGCTCATGGTGCGACGCGCCCCAGGGAAGAGCTCGAACAGCCATACTTGTTCGGTCTCCCCCGCTGCGCCGCCCCGAACTGGAAGCAGCATCGTGGGGTGGTGGCGCACCAGGCGCTGCAAGGGCTCGTGGCCGTCATGGTAGTACTTGAAGTCAGCCTTGTTGAGGACGGCAACCTTGCGCTTCACCTTGACGACGCTGCCGCAGTCCACCGAGACGCTGTCGCCGCGCGCCGTGAGGCCGACCGTGTCAAGCGCGGTGCGGTTGGCGCGGTTCGCCCAAGAAGTTTCCGCTTGCTGCACCTGCTGCCTGAAGTGGCTGTCCTCGGGCGATTTGCTGTTCTTGCGCTCGATGACCTCGTCGATCGGCATGTGCGAGAAGACGCGGATGTACAGCTCGGCAATGCTGCGCTTGATGGGCACGCCATGGCCCTCGCTGGCCCCGATCACGACTTGCGGGTCGTCCTCGGGAGCGGCAGGGGCGGAGCAAGAGCCCCCCTTCCCCCCTGATCATAACCCCACCCCCGCGGGTCGGCCGACGGTCGAACCCCTTGCCAGCGGGCCCCCTTCGACAGCTACAGGCGGCAACGCCGTGCGCCCCGAACACTTCCAGAACATACGGCAGCACACAAAACACAAACCTCCCAGTAGATACAACACCACAACGCACACCACAACTTCCAGGACATACACAAACAACGCCGTTGTCTGTCCATCGGGCGTCGCCCGCCCATCCCCCTGGAGCTCCTCTGAAGGCCTTGCCGAAACACGCCAGCCGAGAACACTGCTTGGGGGTGCCCTCTGAACCCCGAGCCCCGCGGCCTCGCGCGGGGCAGGGGGGCGCCCGTCTGCTCTGGGGGGCAGGGGGCGGTCTGGCGATACGCGGGATGACGACGGGCGAGGGGGAGTTGAGGAGGAAAGAGAGGAGGGGGCGTTGAGGAGGAGGGCGGGGAGAGTAGAGGAGGAGGGGGAGGGGTGATGGGCATTGTAAACTAGCTTACCCGCCCAAGCGCGTGGACGAGTCTGTAGAGGCAACATTCAGGAAACCCAGCGGTGCGTGATTTGGGCTCCAGTTGGAAAGGACCAGACGATGTTTCAACGTACGGTTGGTTGAGCGGGATGTTTGCTTCGCTTCGGCATTGGATGTATCTGTATCCTCCTCCGCCCCTCCGTGCCCCCCCCCGTAACCCCCCCGCCCAATCCTCGCCCCCCGCGTCGGGCAGGGGGCGGACGTGGGCAGCGGTGGTGCGAGAACGCTGCCGTTTTTTCCAAAGCTTAAGCCCCGTTGCGAGAGCAGTCGGGGGCCAAGGTATTGCTATAAGCATACCCTGAAAAGAAAGCTGCGCGCGAGCTGTACGAACGCCCCACAGCGGACCGCACTTGCGGACAACGTGCGCAGCGGGCCTGGCGCCGACGGCAGCCCGTCCCGCTCGGACAGGGAACGGCGATTGGGAGCGGGAGGGATGTTGGCGCTGGTAGTGGGCGGGTAACATGGGAATGAGGAGCGGACGAAGGGAGGTCGATGTAGCTTGAGGGGGCGAGCAGGCGCGCCAACGAAGGCTCATCCTCATGTGAACTGTCACGCGGAGTACCCGCGATGATATCAGTCAGAGTCGGAGTCAGCGCTGTCAGAGCACATTACATCAGAGTCAGAGGGCTCGTGCTCCAACAGCGACGCGTCAAGCTGCATCATGCGGCCTGTGCGCGGCCAGTACGAGGTGTCCAACTTCCACTGCTCCAGGGCCTCGTGCTCCACGGTGTTGTCGGCCCTGAGCGGGAGCACGACGTCTGGCGCGCCCTCCGAAGTCTCGGTGTCGGCGCGAGCGGC